TTTCGAATTGAACTCGCCCCCTCCGTCAAATATGACCTCTTTAATTGGACGACCATGAAGGGTTGTAACATTGTTGTAATATTCAACGAACTTAGAGAAAGCCTCAGACTTGGCAGATAGGATGAAAACATAGCGATATCGAGTAAACCAATCTGTTATTTTGAAGTAGTATTGCCCTCCCCCAAAAGAAGATGGAGTGATTTTCCCACTGAGATCCATATGGACTGATTCGAGTGGATGAGTGGCTTCAGGAAGATGAGATGGAAATACAAGGCGGTGGGATTTAGACAAAGAGCACGAGTCACATTTAATTTTTGGAGACTTGATGTTAAATAGTCTTTTTAATGCCTCGTTGCTGCAGTGGCCGGCACGCCTGTGGAGTAGGTCGATGTCAGTGATTGTTGAGATTCGAGCCGAAGAAGGTATGGACTGACCTTCATGAGTGGTTGTCAAATGGAGCATGCAGGTTCCTCCAATAATCGTCGCTTTGAAGATGACTTCGCCTTCTCTGACTAGAACAAATGATGACGTCCCAGTTCTTTTGATTTCACAACCTCGCTCGTAAAGTCGTCCAAGACTGATGAGAGTCGCGCTGATACCTGGAACATGGAGAGCTTTCAAGGCGATAACCTGATTGTTTTCGGCTTTGACATGAACGAACCCCTTTCCTCGCACTTCAAGGCTGTTTCCATCGGCTAGCTCGACCTGATTAGATTTTTGTTGATAGTTCTTGAACAGTGATTTGTCGGCAAACATGTGGTGTGATGCCCCACTGTCAAGATAGCACAGGTTGGGTGTGCTGATTGCTGCGAAAGCTTTGATCGTGCATCGAAGACCGTTGCCAGTTGATTGAGAGTGAACGCTTTCCGAGTCGTCCGCTTGAGCCGCTTTTGCTGATGGTTTCAATTGCCAGCATACGCTTTCGGAGTGTTTTGTCTTCGGATTGTGCTTTCCGTCGGTACAATAATGCTTTTTCGGTTTCGGTTTGGATGATGCAGCCATAGCTGTTTCTTCAGTTTTGATGGTAACTGAGGATGGGATTGCGTCAAGTCGTTTGTTGTTGAACGTGTCTTTGACTTTCTCGATGGTTAAGGGTCTCATCGTCTTGAGGAGGTCTTTGGTGGTGTCGAAGTTGGATGGTGCTTTAGAAACGATGATTTCGGCGACAAACGATTCAGCGATGTGTCGATCAGCTCCTTCCATCTTGATGCCGACGGAGGCCATTAGCTTGAGATGCTCGTCAACTACTTCGAGATAGGCTGTTAAGTCTTTTCCTTTGAATTCGAAAGTACAAAAGTCGTTGTAGACTCTAGCCTGATTGCCGGATGATTTGGCTTCGAAGTAATCGGTGAGAAGCTTCCATAGCGCAACCGGGTCTTCATCATTCTTCTCTGTAACGAATCTGTTGTAATTCGTTACCCCCATGTTTGATACTAGTATCCCTGCCGTTTTCGATCGATTAGAGTTGAATAGATCAAGAGCGGCGGCATTGGTAGGAATTGTCTCCAGCGTAAGATATTTTCTTAGACCGAGCTGTTGACAACTTCCGATGACTTTTTGCTTCCAAGCTCCAAAGGTGGTTTTGGAGAGGTCGGGAATTTGGTTTTTTAGATCGGACATGGTTGAGAGAATGATTTGTGTGTGTGTTGAAAAGCGCGTCCACAGAGTTAGGACTCTGGGCTCATAACCTATAGAACTACTAGGCGCAGAGGGTCTTTATAAAGAACCACGAGTGTGAGTGACACTACACGAGAAGACTTGTTGAAACGACGACGAGCACACCTTTATAAAGAACCACGAGTGTGAGTGACACTACACGAGAAGACTTGTTGAAACGACGACGAGCACACCTGTTGTGCGAGATTGAGTTGAAACAGCGAGATGAGAAAACTGAATGAAGAAAGAAGAAATAGGAACCGATACAACTTGTAACTATTTAACTAACTAACATTTAGGTTTCACAATTAGGTTTCAACTCTGAATATCACTACTTAACCCTAACACAACTGGTTGCTGAGTATGCTTATACTGAGTGAACTCAATAAAATTTCGGGGTGGGAAGTAATTGGTATCATGCTCGGATTGGTGGTTTTGGTTTTGGAGGTAAACTGAATTGAACAAAGGGTTGTTACCCGTCTTGTGAAGTGAATTTGGGTTTTCAGTTGAGGACGTTTTTGCGGATTTGTAAAGCAGATCGGATGTCGGTCAAACAATGCCCATCAAACTGCATTACTGCTAAGTAGATGGAAAATGATTACTAACATTGGGTTGGCATAGGTCGAAGATACTCTTAAAGCCAGCCTCGATTTGCTGCTTGGTTCTGATGGTCGACATGTTGCAATAAGTCCAAAGGTTATGAGTAGCTTATGATGCTCGATCCTCTTATCTCCAAATAATAGAAATTGACTAACACTACCTCCTTAGTGGGATTCAAGACGATTATCTGTTTTTTGGAGAAAAAAGAAAAACAAGCATCTTCCATTAATTAGTCTCCACTGACAGAAAACGTAACCTACATAGCTCTGATAAACTGAGGAATATCAACATACCGTACAATTTCCCGAGAGCTTCGCAAACCTGCTCGAGACCCTATCGAGAGTGTTATTCGGTTTATCATAAACGATACTTGCGACGGCTCTAGTTTATCAAGCAGACCCCAATCACAATTTTTAAATTCGATTTTCATGGAAACCGACCAGTCTCCCAAGAATGTACGAATTTAGACAGACTTACTGATCGCACTCTTTCCTATCAACTGATTCGCCGAAATTACAGTCCACTGCCAGGGTTGTACGAGCCAACCAAGCTCCAGTGAGCAGAGACATAGCAAGTGCAACGTGACGGGAGGAAGTAAGCATGATGAGGACCTTAAAAGTATCAGTTTTCCTAGCTTTTACTCAAGTTGAGTCGATGTTGTTGATGGGTCGTAGAAAACCTTTGAAGTCAAGGAATCGACATCCTTTTATATCCTGTTCCCTTCCACCCTCCAGTCCCACTTACAACAGTTGCCTCTCTGGTCTCGTGCAATCCGATTCCCGAACGGATCGATTGCATGCAGAGCAATGGCATCTCCGAAGTGATAGTCAATGAGCTCTGATGATGATATCGACTATGTATGTATTCACTCACCCTCCGCCCGGCACACTCTTGGAGCTGTGGTTCTCTGACATGAACGACTCAGCTGGCTGATACAGAGATTCTCGGCCAGTCAGCACCCAGCAATTTCGGTCATATATCAGATCGATCTACCTCATACATCAATGTATTCGTAAGCTTCTCGAGCCCTCTGTAAAGAAAGATCTTTGACCTTGTCATTTGAGCTTGATGGGGAAAGACAGACTGCATATTCCCAGCGCGGATTGGGGGATCGCTCGCCTGTTCAGATGCCTATTACAAACCCAACAGCCATAAATAATTTGTTGTTTGTTTGTTTTTCTGCTTTCGAATAGTTTCGATCGAGTTGGCTGACTGTGACTGTGAACGTTGGGCGATTAACAGATTACTTTCATCTTTCGATATCAGAAGAACAACGGCCGAGAGAACCACATGACTGATTCAGGACGGATCTGTTCGCCAGCTTAATGTACACAGATTGGGGGCAGTTGACCATCATCCGATCGGCTTTCCAGAACGCATGACTTCTCCGCTTGAAAGAGTGTCATCTTCCTCGAACTCGTTTTCCCATCCCAAGCGAATTCCTGGATGAGCTTCATCAAGCTGTCGGCCAACCCATCGGCCTTCGGACCCCACCGGTCATCCCTACCGCTCCGGTCATCCCTACCGCTTCGGTCATCCAAAAGCTCTGCACGTGCCTCAACGATATATATACATGTAATCCCCTGCTTTTTATTTCATTCTCCGAATCGATCCATATTTCCGAAACCTATTAATTGGTATTCCTTCCCGACTTTCCTTGCTCTTTCTCGATGCAAATTGGCTGCACATTCATTGAACGAGTTCAATGCTTTGACGAGCATTGGAGATACAATGACGCTAGTGAATAATTACAAGAACAACATTAACTTTTGTAATTGAGCGAAGTTGCGAGAATTGGTTGAGAACGCTCGGCAGAATCGCAACCGATTGGTATGCTCCCGATTGCAGCTTGGCAAAAGAGATAATAAAAAAAACAAGTCAGGGAAAGAATCGCGGCAGTCATGTTGAAAGACTTTTTAGATTAGGGGAAGGGATGTCGAGAATTGGTGTTGATGGGCCCGTACTCGAGACCCATAGAGCTTCAACTTGTTCCTCACAGGGCTTCATGAACCTGCAGCAGCAGCCAGACATCCATCCCCCCTCCAAAATCATGAATCAAAAACTATGAGAAACAGGGCTGGGGTGCAATAAAAAAAACATCTGGACTCAAGACAAACAGCCTCGACGTCTGGCAGCTTTGAGCCTCATCAAAAACCAAAGACTTGCAAGAAATAGGATTGGGTGGTGCTAAGCCCCGGCAAGTCTTGTGAGGGTCGTCGAGAGAGATCGAGGTGAAGGTTATCCGGAAGCTTTCCTTCGCTCCAACCTATGTGCGGCCTCAAACCTTTCAAATCGGTAGCGAAATTTCCCTTACCTCCAGCAAGGGAAGGATATCAACTGACTGGGTTAGGCGATTGCAGAACCTTGACACTGTACGAACAGCAAAAAAGGGGGATTTTCCTCGGCGGGGGTGTCACAAGATTAGTTGAAGGTGGGTAGTGATGGCGGATTAGTCTTGACCGCCACGTTTGCGGCGGGCTCCAACTGGTACATTATGGTATGCACATTGCCTGGGGGGGTGACCAACATATGGGCAGCTTGTCCAGAGCTCGATGGAGTCTTCTTCTTTGCAGTTCTCACACTTTTCAGCCTGTCCAGTCAGCCCATGTCCGCATTGATGACTATATCCAGCAAGGCAAACGTAGGTGGCTTGGCATGGAAAGTCCTTGTAGACGGTCTTTCGGATCAAATGGGCGCAGCCGGATGATGTGGGGGCCATGCTCGGACTCCCCTTTGCCATCGGAGCGGACAACAAGCAAGCGGCGGCGAAGAGGAAGATTGCCTTTTTGACAGACATGGTGGCAAGCGGATGAGGTTTGCAATTTGATGGCGAATCGAACAAAGGGTTGGCCAGGTCAAGCAAGGGTCTTCAGTCAGACTAAGGCAAGTCTAACCAAATGTGCTACGGTGGTACAAGCTGTGAAGTAGGAATATCCCTATTTAAAGCGCAGAATTTGCAAATTGCAAGCCAAGCAACCAAATTTCACACAAAAAGAAAGTGGACTTTTTTTCTTAAAAAAATAAGAATCCACTGGAGATCTCACTTTATCTCACTCTCTTCTTGCATGATTAATGCAGGTTTCTGTTGGCCCACTCATAGATTTGCATCTTACAGAGATACTTACCATTTCAAAAATATCATTAACCTCCTCCCTTGGCCTGATTAAATGCTTCCATCAAGTAAATTCCTCCAAGAATTCTGTTGTTGGTCCAGATTTCCAGAGCCAGGAATTCTTGGAAATTCGATGGCAGGATTTTTTTTGTGTAGATACTCCATATTACTGAATTCCAACCACATTAGGGGGTTCACAATGGTGTTTCTTGCTTCCTATCCCTGTTTTTTTTTTTTTTTTTTTTGCATGCAAAATTTCTGCCTACCAGATGCAGCCTTTTACCAGCTAAAAATTGGGTGTGTATCATCTGTGGTGCTGCAGCACATCACCCAAGAGAATTCTTGTGGAAGCCACCACCCTTACTTGGGAAGCGCTATTGTGAACCCCCCTATGGCACCCAAGCAGAGGCCATAGGTGGCTTTACTGCCCAACAAGCCCACTGCTCAAGCCAAGCTTGTAAATTCCAATTGTATCTTCCCATTACTCTGTGTTTTGGCTCCATTCCTGAATGTTTGTTTGATTTATCTCAAGTCTTAACCTATTTGAAATCTCAAGTTCACATGATATCTCAATTTTCCTTTGTTCATGCTTTTTCACATTGCACAAACTCTCAAGTACATACCTATCCTGTCTGAAAATCAACTTACCTCTCACAATGGAGTCCAATAAGGCCCCGTTTGGCTGTCTATAATTTGTAATTTTGGGGCAAGGTTTGGCGGGAGTTTGTGCAAAATTTTATATCATTTTATATTGCATGGTCCAAATCCTTGCCAAACCTTAGCCAAATCACATATCATGATTTGTGGCCAAACGCAGCCTAAATACTTGAGAGCTACATATGTTTTGAGTGCATTACTCAAAAGACTCTGGTTAAGAATATTATTTTATTAAACCTTGACCTTGGCTTTACCGCTGACCCAAATCACCTAATGTGAGGAAAGCATTGCCATTAAATATTAAATCTTCCCACAATTTAATTTTATTTCCTCATAAGTTTGGTCACCCTTGAGCTAGAATATAACTCTTCATTGGTTCAAGAGTAGATTGATACAAATTCAAATGGTGCAGGTGAGAAGGATGATTCATTTCAAAAGGATTAGAACATAATATGTTTCTCCTAATACTATTCCACTGTTTTAATTTTGGTTTCTGTGCTGTATCTAATGCCCTCCCCACTTCTCCTATTGACAACAGCCATCCAACTCAGACTATCCAGAGAAATTAGAATTGCATCCAAAAAGGAAATACCAGTCAACATTTTATGATTCAATGAACAGGAAGCCAACCATACCTTTCCCTCATTTTGCCATTGGCAAGGCTATCAATGGAAGCAAGATCTGCCTTGAATTCAGAGGCCCTGGAAATATTGCAGCCAATCCTGAAATCTTAGCCTTGTTCTGTAGTTCTTCTCTGATATCTTGTAGGAATCTGTGTTGCTGTGGACAGATAATTAAAAATTTTGGCTGCAATAACAAATTGAGTGAGCAAGAAATTGGCATATTCAATATAATTTCAACTCCTGCACAGGTGTTGACACTGGCGTTAAGCAGAGTCAGCTGAGAGTAAGGATAAAATAAAGTAAAAAATTGGTATGAAAAAAATGAAGATCTTTTTTGGGGAAGCCATGGTAGGTGTAAAAGGAATGTTGTAACCCTAGTTCTTGACCTCTTCAAGCCCTTAGGGTTACATGCTGTAAATCTAAGCCTAACAGTAGAGTCAAGTGCAGTCAGCTGAAGGTAGTGATAAAAAAACATATCAAAACAATGGGTCCAAATGTAAGAAAAGAAATTGCTGGTGAAGCCATGGGAGGTGTTAAATTTAATTTTGTAACCCTAGGCCTCAGCCTGTTGCACTAGAGATGGTTGCTCCGCATCCAGATATCCGCTCGGATGCGGATATCCGGCTGCTGTTTCCGCAGAAACGCCCATCCACATCCGCATCTGCACCCGCTGGCGGGTATCCTTTGGCCGCAGCAGGTATCCGAGCGGGTATCCTCAGATACCCGCCCTCTAAATCAGCGGTGAGGCCGCCAGCTGGAGTGTTTCCTTCCAGTTGGCAAGGTAAATGTACCTCAATGGATGGAAGGAAATCCTTCCAGTCAACAAGGTAATAAATGATTTGATTCCTTTGGTTTTTGTACTCACATCTGAGTAGAAAAAATAAAAGTTGTAAATGAAAAAAATGCATATTTGCTTTTTGATTTATCTTTCTTTTTCTTTGGAAAATTAAAAATTCAACTAATGCAAAAAGTGTTTCATTGCTCAAAACTTTCAAAACCCTTCCAAGCGCCAAACTACTCACGATTTCTCCTCAAGCACATTGTATGGCTGTGTTAGAATTTGGCATCAGTCAGCAACTTGATCTTGAAGTTGTCTTTGCTTCATTGGGCAATCAAAAGATATATCTGAAAATGTTACATCCTTGCTTTTATTTTTGAACAAATTTAATTGGTCTCTTCCTAATTCCAATCTTTGTCTAGTGAGCACGGGTTGTTTACTTACAGCTTACTTGTGACAAAACACATCATGAATTGGATAATCTGACCAAACCCCATTTGTTGTAATTTCATTTGGGGAAAAGGGTTTCTTGAATAATAAAGCCATTTATTTGGGTTTCAATCAATAAATAAACACATATTAGCTGGAGAGGTACATGCGCCGACTGGAAGGGTTTCCTTCCGGTCAAAGAGGTACATGTACCTTGCCGGCTGGAAGGAAACCCTTCCAGCTGGCAAGGTACATGTACCCACCGACTGGAAGGGTTTTCTTCTGGTCGACAAGGTATGCTCGCCGACTGGAAGGTTTTCCTTCCAGCCATTGAGGTACATGTACCTCGCTGGCTGGAAGGAAACCCTTCCAGCTGGCCATCTCACCTTCCAGCCTTGGGTATCCTTGGGGATACCCGGATACCCACCAGGGTTTTGCGGAAAAGGGGCCATCCACACCCAAATCTGCACCTGCTGGCACTGGCGGGTATCCGCCAGCAGATGACAGGTATCCGCAACGGATACCCGCCGACCATCTCTATGTTGCACAGGTGTCACACTAGGGTTGAGCAGAATCAGCTGGGAATCATGATTAAAAAAATAAATCAAAAAAGTTACATACCATAAACCTAACCCTAAACCTAAACCTAGGGTGTCCCAAATGTGTTTTCAGGTCATTTGGGAATTGTTTTTTCAGTGGTGCTACCTTGTTACCTCCTCACCAAAATTTGGTAGCAGGGGTCACACCCAGAGCCCGCAAGTATGTCACCTGTTATATTCAAATTGAACTTATCCATGGCAATTACTTGACTTTATCCTCCACCAGCTGTAGGGCCATTGAATCAAATGTTATTCCCTGGGATGATTTTCAAGCACAACAGCTCAATGGGATTTTCATCAGAGATTTGGGCCAACATTCTCAGATGCATGTACTGTCAGGGCTTTCAGGGGGAGGGTAGCTGAAAGGCAAGGTTGAGGTGGTGAGACCAGGGTCAATTGTGAGTAGAGTTCTAAGAAATGAGATGGTATTAATACTGGATTTGTGAGGAGGCTAAGTTTGTGACAGTTGAAACCTGAATTTCATTAGGAGGTTCTGAAAAAAACAATCAGTTCAAAAAGATCAGGTTGTACCTCTGGTTCAAAATAGGAAACCAAGTCAGTTAAAATTTTGTGGCATGGAGTTTGTAATGGTTGTAACAGAAGACAAATGAGGGGTTTGAGGTTTTCTGATTCATTGAATGTATTACAAAAGCAGCATAACTGTCAAAAGGACAAATATGCTCATGATTGAAATAACAGTGTTCAAGTAGAAAAATGCCTGGCAAGAGTGATGGCAGGAGATTTGAAATGCTGAATTTTCCTGTAGGATGTGGTGACAATATCTGTCAGCCACAGAGTACATGTCACAGTACCTTTCATGTACCAAGTAACTGCAACACCTGTACTTATGTACATAAGTACTTATCCATAATGTTGATTACCTTTACCTCTTGTTATCTTATCATTATTATTAACTTACCTTATTTATCTTACATTTATCTTATCTGTTAATTACTTATCCATTAAATACATATCTGTTTTATACATAAGTAATTATCACTTACCTTTCACTCCTGTGTCCGTGAAATACCTGTACCACAAGTTATCCCTGGTCTACAGTATTTTCACGGTCAAATATTATTACAAATAAATATGTACAGTGCCTAGACAGTGAAAAATGGCGTCCCATTTATTTTTTTTTGGAGGGCAAGGAGCCACTTTTCAACTCCAATTTTTTTGTCACAGGGGCACAGTGGGTCAGGGAAAAAGAATATAGAAACAAATTAATTACACAGGCAATCAAAAAAAAGATAAAAATTGTTGAAAAAAAACAAATTTTGTAGTTTTTTCAATATTGATGTAAAAAATACACAATTTGGAGGGGGGATGCGCTGAGAGTGGAGAAGAAAGAATATAAAAAAAAAGTTAAAAAAGTTTTTTTTATTATTGATTTTTTGATTTTTTTCTTTTTTCTTTTGTCTTTTATGCTTTTTTTATGTCTTTTTCATTTTTTTTGTTCAATCTAAGAGTGAGGTGAGGAGACTAGATCAGTAAGGGCGGAGTTTTGGGGGCTGAGGGACGGGACGGAGCTGCGGAGGAGGAGACGTAGAACTTGTCGTCCGTTGAGGGGTCTTGGCCGGGGACGATGTAGCCTTTGCTGGGCAGGCTGGGAGTGGCTGGAGGAGGAGGAGGAGCCCGTCGTCAGTCTGGAGCAAGTCGGCTGGGAGTGGCTGGAGGAGGAGGAGGAGCCGCCGGCAACGGGGCCGTCGTTGGTCTGAACGTCGCCAGTCTGAAGCAAGTTGATCGGCCGCAGACTGCCCTGTGACCTGTCGCATGGTGGAGGAGGTGATGGAGTCGTGCTGGTGGTCTTTGGGACGAGCTGGTAGCCTGCGATCTGTTGGCCAAGCAGCCTCAGGTCTTGGTCGCTCACTCGGTCCAGCGATTGCGGATCGGCCGTCAGATAGATCGCCGCCGGCGTCCCCGTCTCGACCACCTGGGTCGCATTCATAGATCCCCCCGCTCCGCTCATGTAGTTGTATGGCCTGATCGGAATCGTAAGGAGCCGAGCCATCCGTCCAAGCGGCCAAGCAAGCCTTGCCGTCCCTACAATAATCATGTTGCCGTAGGGGGTCAATACTGTTGTTTTTTCTTCTCTCCTTTTTTGATGTCACTCGTCACGCGTTCAATCAACTCACGGCGGTTCCCCCAGACCTAATCCATCGACCAATGGAGAAATCCCGACAAGAAGGACAGCCAATCAATCATTCTTTTGCAACCGTTCCTAGGCCACTGCCGACGATCCGATTGATGGTAGTCCGGATGAAAGAAGTGGCCGCTGGTGCTGGACAGGAGATAGGAAAAAACTAAAAAAATCACTTACTTTTTCGAGTTAGTTTTTTGTCCAGAGGTAGTGAATGGCTGGCTAGGGAGTCGGTGCACTGACTCTGTAGCTGCAGGGTGCACTTGCATAAAATATGCAAAATCACCATTTTTACCCCGCGCCATTTTTCACTGTCTAGGCACTGTACATGTATTAAATAGTAAGTATTAAGTGTCAATAGAATTAATACAGTCAATACATGCACTGATCACAATTATGACTACATTATTAGAGGATCTGTTAAGTACACATCAAGAGCAACTAGTACATTGATCAACTAGTACACAATTATGATGTCACTTACAGATCATGACAAATAATGATCAGTCACTCAATTGATGTGCTCATTATCCTGGCCAAAGCTCCCTTGATTCTGAGCGCTCATTCTTTCCCCCTTCAGTATTCTGGAACTTATAATCCGTGCCTCTTTCACTGATTAATCCCCAGAATATTCAGACACCAGTTAAACCAGTTAACATTTATATTGATACAGTACCCGTAACCAACATAAATCTTGTCTACATTTATTGTTCTTAAGCTTCAGTACACTTACTCAACTTATCCACAGTATTCATAGCCTTGCTGAATATTCCCATTAACAATACCTGTTAATCTTCAACTAATTTTGTTAAAGCTTTATAAGTATTGTTAGCCCATTCCCTTTTGGGGAATAACCAAATCAATCCCAGGTGAGTCTTAGTACCCTGGATGCCTATTAATACCTTGTATTGATCCGGATGCGCTGTTGATAGCAAGCCTCTCAGTAAAGACCATACTGATAGAGTGAAACCTCCTCCTTACAGGACTGGTATTAATCACCCACTACCTAACACTCACCACGCTCAAAAACTTCAGTCAACTCATAGTAACGACCTTTTTACCATTAAATATTCAGGTTAGTTACCCAGAGGCTGACAATATCAATCCTTACAGAATGCTGAATAGAAAAGCCTCTTGCAATCCTGATAAAACAAGACAATTGTGAACTGTGAAGGTGATGGTTACACATACTTATAAGGTGATGGCAACACATACTGATAAGGTGATTGTGACACATAATGATAAGGTGATGGTAATTGGAGAAGGGTTGGAAGTAACTTAGGGCCTGTACCATATGACATAAATAGTCATTTTTTCAAAATTTATATGCCTCAAAATTCCCCATCATCAAAAGTGACCATGACTTAAAGCCAGTCCTTGATGTGAAAGTGAGGAATTCAACTCCAGATCTTGACAATTGTTCCCAATTTTTGTGTAGAAGATGGAAAAAAAATGTCCGGATTTCAAAATTGAACCCTACAGTACATGCCCTTAGCTTTATGGCCTGTAAATCTAGCCTCACAGAGGAAAATTTCCCTGGGTTGACAGGCTCTGTAAATTGAGATTTACAGGCTGTAAAGCTAAATTTTGCTGGGGAAATACAGCTTTACAGCCTGTAATTATGGCTTTATAGGGGCTTGCTAAATCAAAGGGAAGTTGTCTACAGCCTGTAAAAATGGCTCTGAAGAGCCGGTAAAACCAACAGGAAGTCCTCCAGTTATCCACATGAATAAACTTGTCAGCTGACTAGCCTATTGTGTCCGCCTTTTTTATTCACTTGTTTCTCCCTCTCTTATCAATTCCGATCTCATCAGATTTTTCACTCTATTCATCGCGCTATAATTTTCTATTAAACTCTCTTGTCTCAAGCCCGCACAACATCATAATGAAAGACTTCACCTCGACAGGTTTCTCTTTAAAAACACCTTCAAAAATAGATAAACACGTGATGAATGGTTGGAGAAGCAACACCCTCCGTAGCTATAACTCCGCAGTGCGGAAATTCCTAAAGTTTGCGAAAGAGAAATTGGATAGACGTTTCGAATTACCGGCGACACACGAAGACATTATTGGTTTCTGCTATTGGGCAGGAAGAAACGAAGACGACGCCAACCCTAACGAAGTATCCGGGGCAACGCTGACGAAGTACCTTCACGGCATGAAAGCCTGGCACACATACCACGGGGTACAATGCCCATATCACTCTGATAAAAAGGTGGCACTAATGATAAAGGCATCGTTAAGAGCGGACGCACTAGCAACACGACAAAAGGCGAAAAGACCAGTGATGGTAGAACTTGTCAGCATGAATTGGATCTCCTCTGCAAACCAACTTTGTCAAACTCAAGTTTGTATTCACTTTGACAATATGTATGCCTATTTGGAGTGGATTGCCAAGTGACCCCTCTGCGGAGGAAATTTTTGAGAGCAAAAAACTATGCTTGCAAGAATTTGCCTGTTAAAGCTTGAATTCTGCTTTGACAGTTTGGGGCGCTCGGGCAAAAGTCCCTCCTGGAGGCTCACTTGGTTCAACTTACAGCCTGCAGTACATAAGGACTTTCGCAAGTTCGCCCATCGACCCATCGATGCAGCTTGCACGATGCCTACATACTGTATGTCCCTGCCATTGGGTAGCATCGGCGGTGGGTTGTGAACCGATATCGAAGCCCGCATCGCATCACTTACGGGCAAGCTACAACTTTGTAGACTAAGGATGTTAGCAGGCAGGTGCATACTGTAATCCCCAAATTAGCTGAGAATTACGGAATTATGTTTACAATCAAGCTCAACTGACAAGGTCACATATTTTGGTCAGAGGCACCGAGAAGCTAGTTAGATCGGTCTCATATGTATGTATGACCGGAATTGCTGGGTGCTTATACTGGCGATGAGTCTCTGTATGAGCCAGCGGTGAATTGTCTATGGATGATTTTCAACTCAGAGCAAAACTTCCAATCAAGTCCATCGGCCGGAGGGTGGCTGAATATTTGATATCATCATAGCTCATCGGACATCCTATGCAATCGATCCCTTTGGGCATTGGATTATATGAGACCAGGGAGGAAAATTCACAGTGAAGGAGAGAACTGGCCTGAAGGGAGCTGTATATATAAGGCTATCGATTCCTTGTTTTCTGGAGAGGTCTCTCCCCACTGACTTTTGTCGAAAATTAGGAAGCAGAAAAAACCTGATATTTGATGCTCCTCATCATGTTTACTTCCTCACATCACCTTACCCTTGCTATGTCTCTGCTCGCTGGAGCCTGGTCAGCTCGTACGACTCTCGCAGTCACCTGTCATCGTGACCAATTAGTTGATATGAAACAGTGCGCTCAGTAAGTACTATGTCTCCTTTAATGGCAATCTGATGAATCTTCTGGGGCTGATCGATTTTCATTTAAATGAAACGAATGAATCCGAAAACTTTGGTGTCTGATTTGCCAATCAGAGCCCTCGCAAGTATAGTGTATGATAAACCGGAGAACACTCTCGATAGAGTCTCGACCAAGTTCTCGAAGCTTTCGGGAAATTGTACCGTGAGTTTTCAGTTTCTTATTTTCTTATCAAGGATAGACTATGCATTTTGCCAGTGGACACTGATGGAAGACGTTTTCAAAAAAAATCAGATAACCGTCGTCAATTACAACAAGGAAGTAGTGTCAGTCACCTTCTAGTTGGAAGCAGAAATGTATTACAAGGGGTGGATGTAATACAACTCATCCGCTTTGAATTTATTACAAACTTTTCGATCATCAGAACCAAGCAGCAAATTGAGGCTGCTTACAAGAGTATCTCCGGCCAATGCTCACCCAATGTCAGTCATCATTTTCCATCCACTTTGAAAATCGGCTTGAGTCCGTCAATCATTGATGGAAGTTGTTCGGATTTGAATGAATCGATCTGCCTTCACAAATATAAACAAATTCACATCACAGTCGGGTTCAGCTCCATTATTCAATACAGTTTTACTAGAAACCCAAAACTATGTCCCCAATACCGGTTTTTATCTTCCTCACCCTTTGACCTGTGGTCTTGACGGTAACAGACCATTGACTGTCGACAAGGATTGTCAAGAGTCAGTATTAATTGTGATGATGGTCGTAGAGCTAGCTCACCTCCAGAATCTCAAGTTTCAACTGACTAAGAGTTTCCGGGAGATTAGTGCGTACAACAGTATCCCGGTCGATCGTCAAGGTCGATTGTTGGGTGATAAGGGTCAACCGGCGCCTTCCACAGTGAAGACATCAAAAACCTGCACGGCGAGTTCGGCTCCGATTGCTTGCCTTTGATGAACTGTATTGATTTACTCGAAATTTCATACCGGCTGCTTGGTAGGTGGCCATCTTCACGACCGATGAATCCCCACTGATCGCGTAAGTTATCGGTTGAAAAATATCAAGTTTTGCAAACTCTTCTACCCTACTAAGATGATTTGAAAACCTAATCTTTCTCTTTGCTTTGAAACTATTAGGAAAAAGACCGAGATTGACCGCGTAGTTTCGAAGTCCATCAAAGAATGTAAAGGCAAGGTAAGGGAATCAAGACGACTTCTTGAACATTTGAAATCCCTGAATACTAAAAACCTTATAAAACAGTCGGGCTTGACGGTTTTAGCGCAGGGAGGAAGTGGTAACAATGGTCTCACTATGGTCACAGTTAAAAGTAGCCAACCTTTTGGTGGTTGAATTGCTTCTGAGTGACAATTTTGTGTTACCTGCAGGCTTATCAACATGTACTCAAATAGAATTTAAAGATATCCTTTGACAGTTCAACTCTTTATATCAGCAGATCTTCAGCAGAAATTTACTGAAAATTTGTTTCATTACTCATGTTTAATTTTGCGTCAGCTGCCTTCTTTATCCAGAAACTGGATGATACTTGAACTCATGAACAAAATAAATGTGATTGAAATTGTGGACCAATTGTTGAAGCATCTCTCTCTCTCTGAAATTGAAAAACCAGATAAAAACATGAGTAACAAGAGCCCAAAATGATATATTCAATTTCTAATTCTTGTGGAATATAAGTCCCAGAATTTCCAATGTTCATTCTTCTTCAGCCTGATCTTGTAAAATCATTCATGATCAAGACAGATTATGAAGGCATTTCCTAATCTAAGACAATTTGGGTGTTTATAGACGATGTAACATCTTCTGTTATAGCTTTGCAATGATTTGATAACCAATCCTTTTTGATGCAAGACCTTTTGAAACCTCAATAGCAGGGTTCACAATAAAATTTTTGCTTCCTGAAGCCAGATTAAATTCTTCCTTGATTTAAAAATTCTGAGCTTAATATTAGCCTTAAATTAAGCTCACAATTTCAACCCAGGAACCTCTGAGGCTTCCTGAGGTCAGGAAGCTTTAAGGGTTCCTGAGCGCAAAAAAAGGCTTAAACTTTGCAAAATATTTCCTTGATCCTGTAAAAAGCTTACCTAATCTAAGCTAAAATTCAATCCTCCCAGATAGTGCTTGAGAATACTGAGGCTCTCAAATATCCTCCTCACAAAAGCTTATTCTAAACCCTGCTAATAGAAGTATAAGCTTGAATATTTATCTATACCCTCTTGATTGAGAGAGCGTAGAACTTTGTGGAGAATTATCAATTACTTGTACTTTATTATTAAGCAATCTCAATTGGATATTCTTGAGAAGCTCTAAGGCTGAAACTAACACTACACAATCTGTGCTCAAAAAGCCTGCCACACTAATGCTTCTTAGGAAACGAGTGGAGCATAGTGTAGTGGCCCATCATTTTCACAAGGCTCTTGTGAGTTCTGGTCTTTCAAAGTCCTGATATGATTTAAACCTCTAGGTAGGCTTCATCATAATGTACATAAAAAATTGAGTCATAGTAAGCAAGCATTTGTGTAACATCTCCCTTATCCCATGACTCATTCAAGAATTCAATATATTTCAAGATGAAGAATTGCCTTTTTTTCATATCAAAATTACCAAATATATCAAAAAACAGTTCCTGTGCATGTCCCAGTTCCAATTTTTCAAGAATGTTTTTTTTGCCTTCCTGATGGCCATTTATCTACCAAAGCTCCAAGAGGATCATTCTTAAGGAATCTTCTACCTCCCCATAGATTACTGAAGAGCTTCTATCGGGCTCACATTCACAACTGTTTGATGCTCCTCTCTGGGAATCCCTGTGTACCTGCCCCAGCATATTTTTTGTAGTAATTTGAATCTCACATTTTCACCATGATTCTTCAGATTTGCACTGGAAGGCAGCAATTTGTTTTCTGAACTAACTCATCAGCACCAAAGATCCTTGACTCAATATCTTGGTGGCTCTCTTAACATTTCAGCTTACCTGGACTCAGATTGAGCTGATAAAATACCAAAATGTTTGTTCTACAAACATCTGGCCTTCCAACACATTTCACATAGCCTACAGGTGATGGGGCTATCTCCTGGAAGTTGCACAAATCCACGTCTCCAGCACAGGGGGGGGGGGAGCATTGTGGCCAAAACTTATGTGCGTTCCATACACCTTTGATTACTACATACCTCTCCTTCTGCAAGGAAAAATACATACATTTGCGGTGAGTATCTTTCTGGGCAAAAACAGCAATTCATGTATTTGGGGTGAGTACCTTTTGTGGTTCTTGGTTGCTGTGTTCTATGGGGGGTTTGCTGGGTCCTGCACTTTCCCTTCCCATGGACAATGAGAGTGGGGGATTGCAAGCCAATATTCCAGGAAACCACTTTCATTGAATATTACACTCTCTTCCAAACTAGTCCTTTCCACAGACCAAATTCTGAAATTTTTCAGGGCTCAAGGCTGAGATTGCTTCAAGATTCATCCACTTGTTGAAAAGGCTGATTCCCAGGTGATAGATTTTGTTTATGGCCGAGGCCATCATGACATTCGTGGCCATGCAAGCCAGAGTAGAGTAGGAAATCAAAGTGCATTCACCCTCCGTCAATGGAGTAGATCAAATTTAGAAGCACCCTTGGGTTCCAATCCATGTCTACTGTTGCTTCTTGAAGGTAGAAATATATTCCCAAGCTGAGAAGTCACCTTTTATGGAAACCCGGCTCTGGAGAGGGCTATGGATCAATGAAGGCCAGAAGCTGGCGAATAGTCATGTGGTTCTCGGGCGTTGTTCTTCCAAATTCAAAGACAAAATTAATGCTTAATTGCTCGTGGTGAATTCACCTCGCTGTTTTGAAATTGGTGAACGGCCAGCGAATTAAGAACTACATGTGCTGGATTTGCAATGAGGACCTATTTCTGAACAGGTGAGTACATGATCCCCAAAGTAGCTGAGAATAGTCCGCCTTTCCCATCAAGCTCAACTGACCAGGCCTAAGATCCTCCTATTCACGATCTCGTATGGGTCTTGACCGGAACTGCTGAGTGCTTATACTGGCGACGAGTCTCCGTAAGTACAAGAAATGAGCCAGCGGTGAGTTGTCCGTGTCTGGATGATTTTCAAGATAGACCAAAACTCCCATTTGAGTCTATCGGCCGGAGGGTGGCTGAATATTCAGCACCATCATAGCTCGTTGATTTCATATTACTCCGGAGATGCTATATATCGCTGTGTACATATTTGTACAATCGATGCGTTCGGGAATTGGATTGGATTGGATTGGATGAGACCAGAGAGGCAATCGCAAGTGGGAGAGGGAAGGAGTAACTGGTGGGGAACAGGATATAAAAGGCTCTCGACTCCTTGACTTGACAGGTCTTCTTCTTATCAACCACATCTGAACTGGATTCGAAAACTAAAAGAACAGAGAACCCATCATGTTGACCTGCTCGCATCACCTTGCTCTTGTTATGTATCTGCTCGCTGGAGCCTGGTTGGTTCGTACGACTCTTGCAGTGAGTTGTGATCCTGAATCGGTTGAGAGGGAACAGTGCGCTCAGTAAGTGCTCTCTCTCATCGAATGCCAATCCATACAATCTTCCGGAACTGATCGGTTTCCATTCAAATAAAATTGAACACGAAAACCTTGGTGTCTGATTGGGCGATCAGAGCCATTGCAAGTATAGTCTATGACCAGCCCAAGAACATTCTCGATAGAGCCTCGAGCGTGTTTGGAAAACTCTCGGGAAATTGTACCGTATGTTCAGTTTCAAAGTCTCTTATCATAGCTTGGGTATGCTTTTGGCCAGAGATGACTGATGGAAGGCGTTTTCAACACTTCAGATAATTGTCTTCAATTTCGATAAGGTTGTAGCGTCAGTCACCTTCTGGTTGGAAGAAGAAATTCATTACAAGGGGTTGAGTGTAACAACGAGCTCATCCCCTTTGAATTTCTTGCAAACTTTTCGATCATCAGAACCAAGCAGCAAATTGAGGCTGGTTACAAGAGTATCTTCGACCAATGCCTACCCCATGTTAGTCATCATTTCCTATCCACCATGTCAAGCAGTTTGAGTCCATCAAGGGTTGATGAACACCATTTGATTGATCTGTATTTAATCCGACAAAAATACTCCACTGAAAAACCAAATTCACCTCACAGTCGGGCTCAACTCGACTATCCAATGGTGTTTTTCTCCAAATCCAAGACCATCAATTAGGCCAGGATCGGGAGTATTTCCCTCCCCGGACTTTGACCTGTGGTCTTAATGGTAACGCGCCATTGTCTGTGGACAAAGATTGTCAAGAGCAAGTCTTATTTGTGGTGATGGTCCCAGAGCTAGCTCGCTCACCCGGAGAGTCTCAACTGACTTGAAAGAGTTTCCCGAAAATCAGTGCCTTCAATAGTATCCCCGTCGATCGTCAGGGCCGATTGTTGGGTGATAAGGGTCAACCGGCGGCTTCCATCTTGAAGACGTTAAAAACTTGCACGGTGAGTTCAGCTTCTGATTGGTTGTCTTTGAGAATTTGACTGACTCACTTCGTCAACATCCACATCGGCTGTCTGGTAATAGGTCCTCATCTATACGACCGACGAATCCCCACTCATCGCGTAAGTTGTCAATCTCAGAGCTATCCCTCCTCCTGTAAAATGAATCATGACCGAGGAACCCATTCATCCATTTTTTCTGCTCGGAAACTATTAGGAAAAAGAGCGAGATTGGCCCAGTAGTTTCGAGGGCAATCAAAGAGTGTAAAGGCAAGGTAAGCAAGCATCCATCAAGCAAAGTTCTTGAACATTTGAAATTCCTGAATACCAAAAACTTTCAAATGTATTCAAACAGTCGGGCGTCATAGGATTGTCAGAGGGAGGCAGCGGGAATAACGGCCTTGCCGTGGTCAAAGTTAGAAGTAGCAAACCATGCGGGGGTAAAACGGATTCTGAGGGCCAACGTTGCGTTCCCTGAAGGCTTATCATCTCGTCTTCAAATACATAGCCTTCACAACTCCTCATTTGAGTGTTTAACTCTCCATATCAACTGCACGTTTATACGCTGTGAATTGATTGACTGGTTGTTTGTCACATTACTTCTTTTCTGTTTCTCCCACTTTCTTCTTCCAAAAATTGGGATGTTCTTATCTCAAATCATGTAAAATATAAATAAATATGAATGAACTCAATCGGACAAGAGCTTAAAATGACAAGATAAAATTGGATTTAGTTCCTCATTTTGTGGAATGTCTCCTTGTTATAATGATCAGAATCTTCCAATCTTTTTGGTTCATGAAACTGCACAGAACTTGAGTGGAATTAACGGTTTAAATATTATTCATGTAAAGTATGTTCTCTTCAAAAAAGAAAGAAAACAAAACCAAAAACTTGTTGTTCCTTAAAAGGATCATCCGTTTTTATATGTCAAAACAGAAGCTACATAGGTCTGAGAAAATAACCTGGTTTGATGAGGAGATGCATGCAAAGACTGGGAATTATATGAGTTCAAAGAGTAAGTGGAAAACAGATATGCGCTGGTGTGAGGATTTTTGTTTACTCCTCATCACTCATCACCTTTTGATTGCTCAGATTATTATCAAACGTACAATCTTACTTTTTGCATTTACATAACATCCGGAAGGGAAACAAAAACGATGGGATATATAAATATATATATGTGTTTGTGTGTTTGAAAACGAAATAAGAATGAACATTTTCAAGACAAAAACAGAAAACTGGCAGAATTCTTTGTATCTATTTGATTATTGAACAAAATGTACCCAATTAATCGAGCAAAGACAGAATAAGAGTTGAAAAGGGTTACCGGAGAGTTTTTATGTGGGGGGGGGGACATTAAGGGAGATGAGGGCGCTGCCAGATGAAGAACGAGCTGCCGAACATGCCGGGTCGAGGGAGAGTTTTGCGAGGAAGATGGGGAGGGAAAGAGGAAGAATAAATAGGACCGGGGGGTTGATGAGAAAGAGTTGAAGGAACAGTTTGAGATGAAGGAAGGGGATTGTTGTTGGTAGTTGAGGCGGAGGAAGAAGGAGGAGGGGGAAGAGGGAGGGGCGGATTGAGATAACGTTTGTAGCCGTCCGGCCGTAAGAATACGTTTGCCGGACCCGCCATATTCTCTCCTTGACTACTACTGCCCCCACTACTGCTCGTCAATCCTATGGCAGAGCCTGTCAGACCTCCACTACTGCTCGAAACATTCTTGCTCTCATTCGTCTCCATCGGTAGATACTCCGCACTCAATGGTCGCTCAATCATCGCTCGGACGTGGTTCTTGTACTCAATCTATACATCACCACAAAAAGAGACAAAGCGTCATTAGGGTACTTTCGTATCTTTCCTGAAACTTTTGATGTTTTTTGTTTGTGCTGGGGATAGTATCTTGAGTGAGACATAGACTGACCTCGAAATCCATCATATCGATATTCTGTCTGAGTAAATCAAACCCGATCTTCATCTGTTGATTCAAGGTTTTCTTCTCCTGAGCGCGCTGTTTCTTGCGTGCTTCCAAACGATCGACAGCGGCCCCATTATAACTTCTTTTTGAAAAGGGGAAAAAAGACGAGTGGAGTATTAACGAGACGCGTCTCCAATGTTGGGATTGATTGAAGGATACTAACAGCGATGCTTGAGGAGGAAGGTTTCCAGGCTTAACAGGCTTAACAGCCGGTTTCTATCCAATTCCAATCACCCGATTAACATCTCCGACATTTGTGTTTTTCTCTCTTCTGATAAAAAGTTAAACAGGACGAAAGAGAGGAGAGGACGAGGACCAACCTTATCACCAGCACCAAACAAGGCACCCCAAGTGGTAGGATCATTGAGGTCGTATTCACCTGCTTTTTTTCGAGGTGGATTGAGTGGAGCGGAGATTGAAGGTTTGGGAGTCGTTGTGGTTGAGGTAGTCGAGGAACCTGGGAAACCATTTGTTGTTGTTGCAGATGAGGAAGTTCCGGCTTTATTCACTTTTTTAAAGCTCGGCTTTACTGGTTTTTTCGTCGAAGTTTGGGAAGGATTTTGACTGGCATTTGACGGTTTTTTCAGAGATGTAGTAGTAGTAGATGTTGTTTTAGATGTTGTTGTTAAAGGTTTGGATGGATTTGGGACGTCTTGGTCTTGCGATAGTTCTGGGCGATTAAGTGGCTGCTGCTGCTGTTGCTGCTTGGTGGGGTCACTATGAGAAGGCGTTGGTTCAGGATGCTGATCGGTCGGTTGATCAGTTGGTGATTGGCGGTTTGAATTCGATGGAACAGGCGCTTCTTCGTTCTGAGTTACATCCATCTCTTCCTGTGCCTCTGAGACTGCTGTAGGTGCTGCTTCTGCTGCTGTTGGACGATGTGTGGCTGGTTTAGCTGTTGAAGGGGTCTTGGGTTTTGATGATGTTGAGTTGGTCTTGGTCCGTTTAGGAGGATTTTTTTTACGTTTGAACGTCATTTTCGATAGTTTGCTGGGCTCTGTTGAAACTGAATTGGCTGGAGGTAAGGCCACAGATTCGGTAGGTTGGGGGTCATTATTGAGATTCTGCTCGGGGTCGGCAAACTCTGTTGGTTTGGGTAGATCCGGTTTGGCAGACTGTTTGATTCTTTTGTTTGGTTTTTTTACTCTGCTTCGTTTTGGTTGGGGTTCAACTCTTGCCGCTGGTTCGGAGGGTGGTTCAGAGAGGGTGGAATCATCTTGATCATCCTCATGAAAGCTTAGATCGTCATCCTGCCGTCGTTTTCGCTGTCCTCGATTGTTCAGATCTGTGCTGGTCGAAATATTTTGATTTTCTGATGGTTCCTGATAATGATGTAGGTCTTCTTGCGGTGCTGCTTGTTGATTATATTGCTCTTGTTCCTGGGTTTCTGGGGGGTGATGATGATGTTGCTGTTGTGTTTTTCGTTCTGGAGCTTGGCTTGTTAGTTGAGGTGAGTTGGTTCGGTAGTGCTTTGTTGGTGAGGAGTAGTTCGTTGGTTGATTATCACCAGTCGTTGGTGTGGGAATGGTTTGGGAGTAAAAGAGCTCAGTCCAGGTGTGGTGCTCGTCCGAAGGCGATTGGTGAGCTCGAGCCAGGCTGTCTTGGTGATAGATCGAGGTAGTTGTTGATCTGGTTGAGTTGCGTTCCATTTTCCAATCCGATAGCTCTTGTGTTTTGATGGTCAACAGTCAGCTGGTTGTTGGTCGCAGTTGAGTGGATGGTCAACAGCGAGGTGAAGCCCAGCTCGGTGACGCTAAGCCCCTCGGACCATCCATTGAAGCGCCGCAGCGCGCAGCATGGCGACGAAAGTTTTACTCGCGACCCGCGACCCGCGGTTCGGTACGTGAAATCATTTTGAGATCAACAAGGGCCGTGAACGCACACCCAAGTCCATCGTGCATCCTTTCAGCTGAGAGACAATATGAAGGGGCGCAGGCTTACATCGGGCTTTCCTCATAAGGGAATGATCAAATATCATGTTGGACGCCCCAAGCTCGCAAAAGGCAACGGAACAAAGGGGCGGGTCAGTTCCTGCTTGACAAGTAGGGAACACAAGCCTAATGTCGTCAAGCTGACTCGCACCCGGCACATCTTCAGAACAAACTGTTTTTGAGGGGGGTTGAATCCCAGGAGGGTGCGCCGAGGGTGCGGGTGGGGGAAGCAGGTCGCATAGCAATCTCGGTTAGTTTGAAAGTGTGACAAAATTAAAACTTGAGATGTGCGCTGTCTTCAAATCGAAAAAATTGTTCATCTGTATTCCATATTCCATGATATGATTTATAAAATTATTGGATTCTACAAGTTTATAGGATAAAGATTCCGATAAGAAAAAAAAACGGTAAGGAAGGGGTCAGTGATTGTAAGTGTGTTGGGAGAAACTTGTGCTTCCGCATCTGATGCATTTCAAAGCTGGAAGGATTCTGATGAGATACACCATGAGGGCACAAGTGAATTTACTCTCGATCTTGACGCAGCTGAATTACTTTCATGACCCATCCATTATTCAGTTGGGTGGCTTTGTCAAAACTGAGGGAGAGAAAATTCAATTTGGCTTTTACTTCTTCTGGCCTCATTCAGGAAAGAATGCATCAAAAGGAAAGTCATGGATTTCTGTGTTGGAAAGTGCAGCTGCTATTTTTAATATTATTAAAAAGGTTTAACCATATACCTCAAACCCCAGTCCTGAACAGGTATTGCTACTAGCAATGTCGACAAGACATTAATTCTTGTACTGAACCTGCATTTTGACCATATTCCCAATTCTTATCTTGCTCACCGTTGTCTTCTTAAATAGTTTTTGTTCGCTTTTGTTCACTCTACTACCACCAGGCCTTAGAGGCTCCTAATGCCTTTGCATCGCTGCCTATTCTTTCCTTTGCCCAATTTTGGACAATAATCTCACAAACATTAATTTCATGCCTTATCCCTATTGCCTTATTCCTTTAGTAATTATTTTCCATATACCTCTACGCGTTGTTTTCCTTTTTCTCAGCCACATATTTTATGTTCTTTTGACGGTTTTGTCCTTCCTTTTGTTTCTTCTTGTCAACAGCGTGTCAAATTCTATTGCTTTTTGAATGTGTTACATGGCCTCCTGCGCCGCCTCTCCCTGCTAATCAACCAAAGCTTTATTGGTTTCTCTCTTCTAAGTCTGAATCCGGTCCCATCACTGTGCCCTTCTTCTAAATATATGAATTGATTTTGGAACAAAAAATTCTTTAATCCGGCCTGGACGACTCGTCGCACTCCCAAATCTATTGCCAATAGGATTTATCTGGCTAAATTTCTCTGGGCTGCCAGATGCTTTCCCCATTTAGTATTAAATTGGGAACAAAAGAAGCTCTCAATCCGGCCTGGAAGCGTTTTCCAACTCCCAAAACCATCACCAACAGAATTTATGAGACTCAATCCCTCTGGGCCCGCCGGAGGCTTTCCGCATTTACCAACCAAGACCGGTTCGCTGAGTCACCATTTACTTGTAGCTTTGGCCCCATATATCTGTACACAGTCTCAAAAATAATGTTTGTCTTGGGATTGGAATACAATCTTTGGGCAATGAAGAAAATAAGGCTTTGGCAGGAGAATTATTGGAGGTAGGCAAAGGAGCGAATCAGACTCAGGTAACAGAAAGTATTCAGCTTAGGACTATAGAGGTGGATTTTCAAAAAAAAGCAATGTTCTGTTATAATCTAGCAGTAGGTCATGTATACAAGGCCACGAGTCAAAGGTGGAATCAAAATTATAGTCAATATGTGAAGTATCTTGGCAAAAGGATCATCTTAACAACGTTGACCAGAGACGCGGCAAAAGTGAATCAGGCCATGGTATCAACTCTGAAATCTCGTGGTATAGTTTCTATTTCAATAGACACAGCGGTGGGCCGCTACACTAACCGTAGCGGTTAGTGTAGCGTAACGCAGCGGAATTCCCGTTAGTGTTAAGCGTAGCGTAGCGGAATTCCGCCACAACACCGCTAACGCTACGTGTGTGGGCCACAAAAAAGGGCCCACTACGCTGCGCTACAGCCGTTTTTAGCAGTTTTTAGCCGCTTTTTCCGCTAAAAGTGCTGTAGCGCAGCGTAGCGTAGCAAAAATGCGCTACAAAAGCGCTAACACTACAAATTTTTGGCGCAAAAAAAGCGCCGCTACGCTACACTTTTTGGGCCAAAAGCGTAGCGGCCCACCGCTGATAGACAGACCAGACGTTGAAGCTGAAGGTGCAGTTGCTTGTGAGGCTCTGAACAAAATAGATTTTGCTGGTTTTCCGCCTCATGAATTGGAGCTCACCGCTCAAGGTTGGTGCACCAATAGTTCTCCTGCGGAACTTAAACAGTGATCAGGGAATATGCAATGGGACAAGGATAGTAATCAAAGACATCAGCCCAAAAGCTATTAAAGGGCAAATTCTAACAGGACCGTTCAAAGATAACGAAGAATTAGTACAAAAGATCACTTTGTTTCATGAAGGCAATTCCACAGTAACAGTGTCCTTTTATAGGTATCAGTTTCCCGCAGGGTTAGCTTTCGCCATGACCATTAACAAATGTCAAGGCCAGAGTATGAACTACGTAGGTTTAGTATTAGAAAATCAGCCTTTCACCCATGGTCAAGTATACGTAGGGTTGTTGCGGGTTACACAAGTCAAAAATCTTCTGGTTACTCAAGTAGCGTAAAACACGCTGGTAACAAATGTAGTAGACAAAATCTTATTTATAGAAGAAGATACAGAAGCATGTTGTGTAGACAATGTTCAAATGAGAGAATTGAAGACAATTTCTTTGTTTTGGTGCAATAAATATGTGATAGTATGTGATATTGTTGATGGATCTGAAGCTGATAAAAAAACACCGCCTCTAGACACTAGTGGGGGTAATATGTGAGATCACAGACTCTGCATGCGACAGTTGCAAGAGTAGGGTGGTTGGGCTCTAGTGTCAATGGGTCAATTGGCTCAATACGTTCCAGGAGCCGTGATACTCCCTCTTCTCTGTTTTGGGAGAAGGGCGAGTGAACCCATAGCTCGGTTCGGTCGTCGGAAAGATTGGTCAGGAATCTTCTGACACGGGGAGGGTCCAAATCTAACAATGCGCGGGAGGCTTCAGTCATTTCTGGGGTAAGTTTGGTCTTCGTTTCCACAAAGATGTGTCGGTCCACAGGAGTGCCAGCGCCGCGAAGGATGGCCATCTCGCAATCGAAGCGGAAAAAGCGCCGAATGAGTTGATCTTGCTGTCAAAGAGGAAGACGCGCGAGGAGGTCGTCAATGGGTCTGAAAACTCGAACGACGAGGAAGGAGGGGATAGGCCTGCGGTGCTTCCACATATTCTTGGGGTCCACCCCAATCGACTATATTCCCCCTACTACATAGCCCAAGTCGAGCTGCTTTTCAGGCTATGTAGGGGGGGTATAAAGCCCTCGCAATCCCTTGCCCGCGCTGCGTACATTAGGCACAATAGGGGGGTTCACAATACACATTTTGTGTTCTCGCCCCGCCTATCATGTTGTCTCGCTTGTGACATTTCTTGGGTTCAAAATTTCAACCCAAGAACACAGCAGAACATCTTCATCGTTTCTTGCTTTGGATATACCCGGGAAACTCCACATCACTCACCCCCTAAAGATCGTACCACTCACCCTACAACATCATACAACTCACCCTACCACCCTACAACATCGTACAACTCACCCTACAACACGAAATTGTCACCCACCGCGGCCTCTGAACCAAGCATCAACTCCAACACCTAAACTCAACTGAAGCAACATCATCTGAAGTCTTAAACTTATCAACCGCCCGACTCAAAATGGTGCCAAACGTATGTATCGCTCTCGCTTTCTTTCAGCAAAAAAGAAGATGAGGCTAAACTTACATTCATTCTAGGCCCATCTGGAATTGGACCCAACTTTGATGTAGCAGTCTTCAGGATCAACGATTGAGACTGAGCCAACACAACCGCACCCGGGCCCTGTGTCATCGATTGGAGCACCGTCCGTAGGGAACTTATCGCTTGGCTCTGGCGCTTCATCAGGCTTCATTTCATCAGCTGCCAACAACTCGGCTTCTCAGAAGAAAGCAACAGCAAGAAAACGCTCGACCGGAAGGAGTCAAGAATCCCGAGGTATAGAAGATGAAATGAGGATTGCTGAGCAGAGGGCTCGGATCAAAAGATTAAAAGCCGGCCAAAAGAAAAGGGCAGGGGGGTCAAAAAATCAAAACAATTCAACTGCAACATCATCTCGATCGCGGAAAACTACGTCTCAATCTCGCGGGCGAACAGCGAGGTCCGAGTCTCAATCGTCTGATGGCCGGGACACAAATCCTCAATTTGTCCAAGAGGATTACGAGAATCTCTGTTGCTACCTTGAGGAGGAAAAGAATTACAACCAGCTTTACGGGATTCAAGACAAAACAGAAGTCGGAGGGACGTTTCTCAAAAAATCGGCTGCCTATGACGTCTTTGCAATCTACATCAACGACCGATCAAACAATCGACTCAAGCTTACGGGCAAGCAGCTACGTCAGCGATTAGATCGATACAAAGCCAGATTTGCGCGGACGAAAGAATGGGCGGAGAATACAGGAGCTGGTATTGAAGAGAGTGATGGTGCTAATACTTTGGCGGCAATCCTTGAGAAGAGGTGTCCGTGCTACGAACGAATGTATGCAATCTTTGGAGCGAAGCATAATGTGACCCCAATGGCACAGTATGAATCAACGAAGGGAACAGGGCTCTACAACTCGAACTCCGAACAAGACAGTGATATGAGCGATCAGGCTGGAGATAACGAGACGATTGCCCGCAATATGAACAACATCAATTCTCCTGAGGAGAATCATCAGGCTGATAACAACTGTCTGGAGGGTTGTATGGAGACCAATGAAGGAAATGAGTGTGCGATGGATGTCGAGCACGATGTTCAATCAACCCGCAATGGGACTCATTTGGAGAGTCCAGATATTGAGTTGAACGATCGGGACGGTGAAGGAGTGGGGTCGAATGATCGGGACGGTGAAGCGAATGAGTTGAACGATCAGGACGTTGAAGCGAACCCAGATCAAGGATTGGGAGAGCCAGACATTCGGATCGAATCCGCTTCAGAAAGGTCAGCTTGAATTGGTCCTGAATTCCCTGATCTGCCACCGCCTCTGATATTCAATTTCTCTGATCAAAACAGAAATCAATCCCCTTCTACTAGTCCTCTTCGCCGAGGCCCTTTGGGGTCGTCAATGAACGCAAACTCTGCGGATGGTTCCCACAATACTAATCCTCCTCGACCTCGATTTCCAAACCAACCAGCAAGTGAGAAAGCAATAATGGACCATCTAAAGATTCAAGCCAAAAGAGCAAATCATCGGTTGCCGGGGCTTTCCAGGACTCAACCAACAAGCGCTTTGGATTCCTGGAGTCGCACTTGAGCTGGGAGAAGGAACAGTTTCGTTACATGCGAGCAAAAGAGCATCGTCGGATTGTTGCGGAGGAAGAAAGAGACAAACAACATTTGGGATGGGAAAGAGAGAAATACGATCGTCAAGAACAGCAACAACAGACAAAGGACTATCGCAGTTTTCAACTCGAGGTTGTAAAACTCCATCAACATTCGAACGAGGTACAAAATAGGATGGCTTTGGAGAAGGAACATGCGGACCTTCAGCGAATGAAATTTGATCAAGAAGTCAAAGAGAAACAAGAACGAGTTGACTTGGCCAAGCAGATGATGAATGACGGGAAATCGGCGGCTGAAATCGAATCGTTGATACGGGTCATATATGGGACTCATTGAGCAAATGGGTTTTTGAATTATAGGTTGATTTTTATTGGTCCCCTTTTTTTTGTTCTTATGTTTTCCTCTTCATAATTTTGCTCAATCTCATCACATACACGTACAAATCAGACTTTTATTCCACTTGTCATCTCAAATCCCACTTGTTATCTCAACACATACACACTTGTTATCTCAACACATACACATACAAATGAGAATGAGTCAGACATCAGATTGAGACTGTGAATAGCATGAGATGCAAATGAAAATGGCAAACTACTTTCCTCAACATGATTAATTCAAATTGAAGAATGAGACTGGGAATTGTGGATGAGACAAGAAATTATGGAAATACCAGAAATGTTTCAAGGGAAGTAATTTAATAAACAAAGATTGTTGCTTAAGTTGACAATGAAAATACCAAAGATCTTCAATGAAAACATTTACAATCATAAAACCATAGATAATAATCAAATAATAAATAGATAATCATAAAACAATCAACAGATGATCATAAAAGAATAAATAGATGATCATAAAACATTGCCTATCAAAGGGGAAGAACACGTCTTGAGTATTTTAAAGCCAAACACTTTGCCTGTATTTCAGCTCGATGTCGTTCCTCGGCAGTTCCCTCCTCTGCTGATTGGTCTTCAATTGATCCTGAATCTCTGTCTGCTGGGCATATTTCATCCCAAGAGTCGCCCAAGTGAGCCAGCATATTGTGAAGCGTCATGCATGCATTAACCCAACGACAAACTTGAAGCATGTCCCGCTTTTTGTACACCAAGAGCCGAAGTTGCTGTAGCGATGCCCATCGACCTTTGAGTATCCCAATCGAGTGCTCATTTCGAACCCGAGCCTTAGCGATGCAGTAGTTGAACTCCTTGTTTGCTGTGATGTTTGACGCCGGTGACTTATATGCGGGGATACAGGTCATTGATAGACCATATGCCGAGTCTGCTAAAAGATACTGGCCTGCAGATAAAAAATGTTAGCAACATGGCACAAACAGATTCCAAAAACCTCCAAGTCACTTACCCTCATCAAAATACAACTCCGGCTCCTTGTGAATCGACATTTTTTTGAAAACTAAGCTGTCTCCACAAGATCCCGGCCACCCAGTCATGAACAAAGTGACAAACTTGTCGCAGTCACATATCACCTGGCAACTCAGAGAATATCGCTTTTTGCGGTCGAAATATACCTCCCCATCTTCGCCTGGTCGCTGATACAACGGGATCGTTGTTCCATCCACAAATCCAATACAG